GGTACATTTGAACAATCTCGCAACCACCATAAAATATTAGAAAATAAATTTAAATTATGCATCTTTCATTCTAGAATGAACACAAATTATAACACAGAAACATAAATGTTTAGATGAAATAGCTTAAATCTCTTAATATTATACATTTATATATATATTTATTATTTTTATTATATTGACCTTTCACATGTGCCTGGATAACAGTACAGAAGTTACAATGATGTGGCTCACATGCACTCATGTTACCATATCAAGTAACATATAGGTGACCTTTGGTCTGTACAAAGTAACTTGTCTTGGCGGTGTTTTAGTCGACTAGTATTTTGTAAAATACAGTCACATTTCATTTATTATACATTATATATGTATATATATTATTGCTATTTTGAAATAAGTTTTAAAGTTATTTTTCCTAAAACACAGAATAGTAAATAAAGAAGTAAAGCAAACAATTATCTCTTCTAGTTACAACCTTTGTATTTGGTTGCTGCTTGATGTAGGTTGCTAAGCCTTTAAAAATGTTGCACGTGGAAGGCATGAAATAAAATATTTTTTTTAAGGTTTTAAATACACTTTTGAATAACTAAAAAAAATCATAAATTACTACATTAATACCATAGAATTCTACAATAATTTATCAAATGTAGTAACTAAGCTGTATTTTAGTCTAAAAAATATGAAATTTGAGCAGACTAAAGACACAACCTACCTCATCAAAATCTTGATTTAAAAGAGAGAAATGATGCTAGGTATGTTAGAAAGGCTTAGAAAACCACTAGGTGGACATTCTATGCTTCCGATTGGTTATTCATGTCATATATAGAAGTAAGTGTTTATAAGGAAGCATTTGCAAAAATGGAAGGAGGTGAGCTGGGTGCCACTATGTTTGACTTATTATGTGAGCAATGTCTTAGCAAATAGAAAAGTTAAGACCTTCTTATTTTATATTCAAGCTTGTCAATATTAGTAATTTGAGTTTCTAATTTGTACAAACTACAGACTTATTATTTTGACTTCACAAACATCTAATTTGAACC